AAAAGAAAATGATAAAATAAAATAAAACAAAATAAAATAAAATAAAATAAAATCTTGCAACGGAACGTCGCTGTTGTAACGAGCTACACAACGTCTCCAGGGCCTGGCCGAGCGGCCATGAAGGGAGCACGGCCCTGAGCGTGACCCGTGAGAGCCCGCAGGCCCGGCGCCCCCGGCAGCGCAGCCCGGGCCCCGAGGGCGCGGCCGCGGCAGGACTGGGCCTCGGAGCCGGGCCGAGGCCTCGGGGGCTGGAAATCCGCGGCCGAGGACCCGGCAGCGGGCGGGCAGGGCTGAGACGCCCGGCCCTTCCTGCCGTGGATGTGCAGCTGAGAGGGCACGTCTGGCCCGCCCAGGAGAACCAGAGCACGGCTCCTGGGGAGGAAGATGGGCTATAGGAAAAGGGATTGCCCTACCTTGGGCCGGTCGCAGGAAGGAGGCCACTTGATCGTCACGGTCGAAGACTGGAAGAGTAGTCTCACTTAGCAAAAGCTCAGGAGCAAATGATGACCCCATGCAGTGCCCTCTCTGCCTGGGCCCTGCTTCCCAGCGAGAGGAGGGTGAAAAGCCGCCTTCTCGCCCCTGAGCTCCGGGAGCAGGGGCGCGGCAGCGACCGCCCCGACGGGGGCTCCTCCGGCCGTGTCTGAGGGGCCCCCCACGGGCTCTTCCAAATGAGAACTCGGCCACAGGAGCACAGAACCGGGGCGGCTGTGCTTGTGAGGGGCGGGAGGAGGGAGGGAAAACAGCCCCCCGATCGGACGCCTTCTCTGCGGGCTCCCCGCAGAAGGAGAGGCGCTGCCGGCAGTCACCTACCCCTGCTCCCGGAGCACCCACGATCCCTCCCCGTCCAAAGCGCCCGGCTCTGGGCACAGGCACGTTCCCAGACGGTTACTGTTTGCCCGTTTGAATGGGGTAGGATTTCAGGTTGGAAACAGACGGGAAGAAAGATTTCCCATCGTGGGGGAGGCTGACGGGGTCCTACGGTGTTTCCGGCGACCCGCTGCACAGGCTTGGGCCACTCTGGAAAGCCGCGTATGAGGGACCCTCTGCAGGAGACAAATCCTGGCAAACGAAAAGAAGGATGTACAGTATAGGGCAGGGAATGCATACCGGTGCGGAGACAACCTCACAGCTCCTTCCCGAGCTGAACGCCTGGCCCGCACTGGCACAAGCACTGCCGAGAGAATCTCCTTCAAAAGACGATGGTATTTTGGATAAAATAGAGTAAGCCCCTGCAAGTCAAACCGAAGGGCCGGCAGATGCTGCTGCTGTCAGGGGGAGCTTAGACCGGAACGAACTGAAACAGCGCTCCACGTTAAAATTAAAGCTCCCGCCGCTTGCACCGGCCGCCCGGCCCACGCGCGGCAGAGAGCCTGCGGGCGGCGCTCCCGGGCGGCGCTGGGCCCAAGGAGCTCCGGCCCCGGGGGCAGCGCCGCGCCGGGGCCAGCTCCGGTCCTCGAGCAGCTGCGGGAAGCCCCTTCCCAGGGGCGAGGCCACTCGGCCCGGCCAGAAGGCGACGAGATTCCCAAAACCCAGCTTGCTGAGTGGCCTTTGCGGGGCCCGGCTCTTCCTGACAGTGCTGGTAACACGGTCTCCCCTGGAAGACCTGCCCCCGCTCCACACACATATTTCCGTATTTTTTATGTCAGGTTTTATGTTTGCACCCTTGGCAGAGTGCACTGGTGGAGCAAAGAGCTGAGACCCTGATCCCATCTAGCCGGGTAAAGCTCACCTCAGCCTGCACTTTCTCCAGGTTGCACTAAAAGCTCGACCTGAAAAAAAAAATTAAAACCAAAGAAAGAAGAAAAGAAGAAACAAGCAAACAAAAAGTGCACAGAAACTGGTGCTGCTCGAACCACAGCTGGGGAAAGGTGCTGTATAATTGGGGCCAGTGCTACTAACCTGTCTCCTGAAAAACACATCAGCTAGGCACGACTGGAGAGCTCCTGGCTACTACACAGCATCCCGCGTCCTAGGAGAGTGTTTCTCTGCTGAGTCTGCTGCAAAGTATACTGATAAATCCCGCTGGACTCGCAGAGCATCCTACATAGGACTTCACTACATAAAGGCTCAAGTGCAGGGCAAGGGCAACCACCGAAATACCCGATTTTTCCTGTGGCCGTGGGCAGAGGCGTCCTGACCTCTTCTGGACTTAAGGGAGGATTTTCTCCACCAGGTCTGCACCACAGAACCGGTCTGAAGAGAATTTCCAACAGCGGCTGGCTCTGACTGGGGCTTGCTTATTATACATCAAGTCGAGAGGCTCTGAGCAGATTAGGAGAAGATCCTGCCTGTGCTCTCACCTCTGGGAGCAACCTCAGGAGGGAGCTAAGCCTGCAGCCGGACAACAGGAGGCGCTGAGGCTTTGCACAACCCACGGCTCCCCTCCCCTCCCGGGCAGCCGGCATCCCAGCCGGGGCGGCCTGGGGGCGGCCGGCCTGCAGGGCGGCTTTGCCGGCTCCACGTTTGCTCCGCCCGGTGAAACGCCTCCGTGGTTTGTAACAGCATCCGATGAGCGTGGCCGGCTTTGTGCCTGCCCTTTTTTCCAGGTACGGAGTGACCCAGCATGAGCTGCCCGGCGTCCCGTCGGGTGTTGCTCCCGCGGGGCTGGCTCTGGAGAGCGAGGCAGCACCGCCCCGAGGTCAGCCAGCGGCGGGGGCCGACAGCGGCGTCTCTGGGGCAGCTGCGCTCCTGCCAGCGTCCCCGCATGCGGCCGTGCTGCAAGGGGGGAACATACTCCACAGACTTCAAACACTGAAATGGGCAAGCCACCACCGAAGGACCTCTGTTTTCAGACGTATACACGGCTTTCATTAAGAAAAGAGGGAGGGTGCATACATGAAGACCGCAATTCTAATATTTCTTAGATATTCCACTGGCGTTTGTCCCAATATCCATGGGTGTAGTTTGACCATTTGAGAAAGCAGGGATTTAATCCATTGCTTTTATATATTTTATTTCCTTCCAAACATATTTTCATATGTTGTTCTCCTCTGGTGATTCCAGAGTTTTGTTTGTTTCGAGGATTTGACTTAATTCTGTTGCCAGATTAAAAAAAAAAAAAAAAAAAAAAAAGAACAAAGAAAGGGGTAACAGAATGTGCATTTAGAGAGCAAGTTCAAACATATTTGTCGTGGCAGAGATATGCTATATCTCGTCATTTGAATCCTGTGTCTCTATAAGAAACTTTAAAATCCCATTTGTGGGGGTGACATTTCCACAGATCACTCGAAAACAAATCACTGTGGAAGCAACTGTGGCCATGCTGAAAGATAAACATGTCAAGCTGAAATTCAGACCCAGGTGTGTATTATAGTTTCTGTGGTATGATGTGCAAGCCTTTTTCAAAATCCCGAGAAGCTTTATTTCCCCTTCAAATTCTCACTGTTGGAAAAGTTGTTTGGGTTTGGGGGGAAGGGTTATTAGCTGCTGGTTTGTGATGTAGATTTTTTGTTTTGTTTCGTTTTGACTTTTTGGTTTTTTGTTTTCTACTATGAGGTGATAAAAGTTCTAGTAGCTAGGTGGGAACGAACTCACAAGGGATAGGATAGAGAAACCTAAGAAAAGTCCGTGGTGTTGACATAGGCTCGAAGAGCCGGACAGGACAGAAAATGTTTGATCCCTCTGCAAAGACTGAGAGATTCCTTCCATAATAATAAAAAGCTTTTTCCAATGTCAGTTTGTTTTATCGGTGTTTTTTACCTTTTACCAGCCTGTGTAGAATACTCCTCCCCTGTTCGTTGTGAGAAATCAGGTCAATAAGCAAGAAGTTGGAAATTAGATACTCACTACCTATTATTGCTGCTCCTGGGCTTCTGGCATCAGAAAAAGCTTCAAAATGAGCCTTCTGGGCTGAAGGCTTTCCACAGTAAAGATATAAAATGGTTCTAGTGACTCACCTGATGTTTGCCAAGTGGAGGTTAATATCAGTGGATCCGCATTCAGGCCTCTGTCCGTATTTATTGGGAACCTGTAGTATTATGTCTCAGCGCGGTGACTCACATGGTTTCTGAACATAAGGCACCCCAAAAAGCAATATCATTATCACCATCTGTATAGGACGGCACCGCGTTTGAAGGGCTAGTTTAGCCCGGAGAAAGAGGGGGGTGTGGTGGGGGAGGGTTGGGAGGGCTTTGGGGAGCGCGGAGCCGAGCCTGCTGCTCGCAGCCCCGAGCGCCTAATGCGATCCCCTGGCCCGAGGGCGATGGGAACTTGGGGCTCCGCGGCAGGGCCTGGAGGTACCTACGCGGAAACCAGTTGTGAAGTGACGGGCGGGAGAGGGGGGAACCTGTGGACTTCAGGATTCGGGACTTTGAAGCACGTCCCGGCCATCAAGTTAAAGGAGCATCTACCGGCCTTTAGTAAATATTGCCTCTAATCTCAGGGGTTTAAGGCTGGATGGCCTTTTGCGTTCTCTTCAAATAGAGGGGACTGCCCTTCCTTCATCTACCTCATTTCATTTCCCCCTATCCCTCCTAGTATTTGTCCTGTCCACCTGAAAGGGTGGTCGTGCCTGTCCCCCGTCCCATCCCGTCCCGCCCCCCCGCCCGCCTCTGTCCCCCTCTCCCACCTCTGTCTCTCCTTCTTTCCCCACAAGCTTAAACCAATTACGCAGCTTTGCAAATAAAGTGCCGCCCCGGGGGGAGTTGCAGGCGAGGGGGACTGCCTTGTTTGCAGGTGCATCTCCGGCTTTGTAGGTGCGAACGCCTTTGTGAGGCGGACAAATGGGGAGAGGAGGAGGAGGAGGTGGGTACTTCTGCGACGTAAGATCCACATCAGCTCAACTCCACTCACATCCCAGCCGCACTTCCTCACTTTCTCAACTGTCTCGCCCCACACCGCTCCCTGCCTCCTTTTTGGCTGGTTATAGAGCAGAATTCAGCACCCCCCGCCCCTCCTGAGAGCTGGCTTCCTGCTAGGTCGGGCTTTCGGGCTCTTTTCCTACTGCCCGTCGCTCGCTTGCAAGAAGGCTGGATGGTTACACCGGGCAGGTTGGCTCCATAATGTTAGGGACTGTGAAAATGGAAGGGCATGAAACAGGCGACTGGAACAGCTACTACGCCGACACTCAGGAGGTGAGTAAATCCCAGGGTCTGGCTTCCCTGCTGCCCCTGTGCAGGGGAGGGGAGGATCTGGGGGTGGCTGGGGGTCTGGAGGGGGCAGCAATCGGAGGAATCGGTTTGCAGTCCAGATCCTGCCAACGCAAACGTACCTCCCCCTCCCTCCGGCGCCGAAACTGGCTAGGCTTCCCCAAGGAAAACACAGCTTCCAGGAGCCCTGGAGGCGTTTGGGGAAGACGCGGGGCGGCTGCGAGACCGCCTGGAGGGCCGGGGGGCCGGGGACAGCTCTTGATCTCATCTAAGAGGCGTAATCTTCTCTCGCGGCGGGCACAAAAGCACCCCGTAAACTCTTGGCTCTGGGCAGAGCACTCGCCGCGCCGCCGGCACCCGATTCCTTCCCGGCAGATGGCAGGGGCCGAGGGAGACGGACGCCAGCGCGTCCTGGTCGGGGGCAGCGCCTTCCCCGAGCTTCTCGGCGGGACCTCCGGCCTCTCTACTCGCCAGCACCGGGCCCTCACCTGTTAAGGCCGGGGGAAAGGAAAGGAGGGGAAGACCAGCCGTTTGTCCGTACTTTGCAGACGGGCTGCCCGCGGCGTGCGCTGCTGGCGCGGGCCGGCTGGCGGCGCTGCCGAGAGCCGGGCCGGGAGGGGGCCCGCACCCGGACCCGCCGCCCCCCACCCGGACCCGCTCCGGACCGCGGCAGGCGCTTCCGCCCCCCGCGCCCGTTTGACAGCGACGTCCCAAGGTGGAGGAGAACCGGCCCAAGCGTCCACAGCTGCGGCGGAGGAGAGGGCCGCGGGAAAGCTCGGAGCCTACCCCCGGCGAGCCTCGGCCCTGCGGGGCCTGGGGTCCGCGCTGCGCTGCTGAGGCTCTGCAGCGGGGGTCCCGGAGAAGCCAGTGCCCGGCAGCACGGCCAGCAGCACGGCGGATTCCCGCCCTGGAAGGAGCCGTTTTGAGGAAGTGCGGCAGCGAGGCAGGCACCTGGGTGTGCGCACCCGGGCATTGCATCAGCACACCCGGACACACGGCTCCACAGTCCCCACGCCTCGTCCCGCAGCCGAAGCTGGCACACGCGCCCATAGGGCCACGCGGACAGAGGCAGATACGTGTCACCCGGCCGGCATCTCCTTTAATAAAGGAAAGTCGGCTAAGGGCAAACAAGGGTCATTCTAATTATGTGCCGTTTCCAGACTCATTTTTCCTCTCTTATACGCATTGTCCACAAACACAAAGTTGAGGGAACTTCGCTTTTACTGTTTTTTTTAAACTTCAATCTTTCCTCACCTCTCGCCATTTAATTTGAATAACTGCAAGAATGCAACATGGGAAACCCAGCCGCGTTCTACCATCTCAAATAATTAATGTGATCCTCTAAATCAAAAGTGCATTTATAAGTTCGTGAAATTTGTGGGGATCAGAAATGAGTTTTAAATATTTAACCGTTGCTTATACCTCATTTTCTTAGCCATATTAGCCATAGGTCGAGTAAACTGGGAAAGTCTTTCTCTCTTCTGTTAAATCAGATGCCGTAGCAGAAAGCACAAATTCAAGCTCTCCGGCTCTGCCTTTTTTAAGAGTTGTGTTATGTATTAGGGTGCTTCAATTTTTTTCACGTCGTGCAATTGCAGAAAATCTTAGAGAGGAAAAGTTCAGGGGTTTCCTACTTTGGGAAAGTTTTGTTGTTTGATTGTTTGGTTGATTGATTTTTTTTTTTTTACTTTAATTTAAAGACTGTTTTAATAGAAAATGTAGACCGGGGGGAAGTTTTACACAGATAAAACAGGCCAACAAGACCTGTTTGGTTTGGGTGAGGGTTTTTAAAATTATTTTACAACAAGACATTATTGCATCTTATATATTTCTTAGAAAAGAAATTTAAATTATTGCGGGAAGGGAGACATGCGTGAGATTTTTTTCAGAAAATACAAGCACTCTTTCTTCTTGGCGCAAACAGTGTACGCCCACCAATTCCAATACTCTGATGAGTTTAAGTATTTAACTAGCGAGACAGGACACATACACTACAAAATACGGGAATGCCCCGGAGAGAACACGTCCTGCCGGGGCAGTCCGAGCCCGCAGCCCGGCTCCGCGAGGGCTTGGAGCGGCTCAGGGAAGACGGTCGGTCCGTGCGCCCCGCTGATCCCGGTGCAGCCCGCGCAAGCTGCGACACGCCAGTAAACCGGCAGTGCGTCCGGAGAGAGCACCCCCGCTCCGTGACTATTTATAAATGTATACAAATATGAAATAGACCTTTTCATGGGAGCAGCTGCCTTTCCGTGCGACTTTGGGGAAGTTTTTTCCCTGGTGTCGGGGAAGCAGCCGGCGTCCCGTAGCAGGACGTTTGCACGGCTGTCTGGGCCAGGCGGGCGGATCCGGCCCCTACGGGGTCCTGCCACACCTCTCTCCTCTCTAACTCCGTCTCTTTGTCTCGCTGCCCTAGGCCTATTCCTCGGTGCCCGTGAGCAACATGAACTCGGGGCTGGGCTCCATGAACACCATGAACACCTACATGACCATGAACACCATGACGACGAGCGGCAACATGACCTCCAGCTCCTTCAACATGTCCTACGCCAACACGGGCCTGGGGGCTGGGCTGAGTCCCGGCGCCGTGGCCGGCATGCCGGCAGGCTCGGCGGGGCCCGTGAACGGCATGCCGGCCGGTGTGGCCGCCATGGGCACGGCGCTGAGCCCCGGTGGCATCAACGCCATGTCTGCCCAGCCGGCCCCCATGAACGGGCTGAGCCCCTACGGCAGCATGAACCCCTGCATGAGCCCCATGGCCTACACCCAGTCCAACCTCGGCAGGACGCGGGATGCTAAGTCCTTCAAGCGGACCTACCCCCACGCCAAGCCGCCCTACTCCTACATCTCCCTCATCACCATGGCCATCCAGCAGGCACCCAGCAAGATGCTGACGCTGAGTGAGATCTACCAGTGGATCATGGACCTTTTCCCCTACTACCGACAGAACCAGCAGCGCTGGCAGAACAGCATCCGCCATTCGCTCTCTTTCAATGACTGTTTCGTCAAGGTGGCCCGATCCCCTGACAAGCCCGGCAAGGGCTCCTATTGGACCCTGCACCCCGACTCCGGCAACATGTTTGAAAACGGCTGTTACCTCCGCCGGCAAAAGCGCTTCAAGTGCGAGAAGCCGGCGAACAGTAAAGCCACTCAGGAGGGCAGGAAAGATCAGGCCGGGGCCTCTAATTCAAGCTCCAGCTCCCCCCTACACAGAGGCCACAACAAGGCTGCACAGCTGGATACGGCCACCTCTCTCTCCAGCTCCAACCCGTCCACCAGCCCTCAGTCTATGGACCACAGTGGATCAAGCACAGAGCTAAAGACCTCGGCCTCGGCCGCCTCCTCCACCATCAGCTCTGTGCCCACTTTGGCCTCCGTCCCACATCCCCCTCACTCATTAGCCCACGAACCCCAACTCCACCTCAAGGGTGATCCCCACTACTCCTTCAACCACCCGTTTTCCATCAACAACCTCATGTCCTCCTCGGAGCAGCAGCACAAGCTGGACTTCAAAGCCTACGAGCAGGCGCTGCAATATTCCTCTTACGGGGCCAGCATCCCCGGCGGGCTGCCGCTTGGCAGCGCCTCCATGGCTGGCCGGAGCAGCATCGAGCCCTCGGCCCTAGAGCCCTCCTACTACCAAGGTGTGTATTCCAGACCCGTGCTAAACACCTCCTAGCTGTGCAACCCCCGCCGCCGGGGCCGAGACCCCTCCTCCCCTTCCTGGCTTCTCTCCCCGCTTTCCCTGAGACAGACCAAGGTGTTTCCGCACGCTGCGTGCAAAGGACTGTTACTTTTTAATTGTCTCGCAACGCGTTGTGTGTTGTTATGATCCACCAGGACCTCCTGCAAAGCCGGCCGCGTCCCGCTTGTACATACTCCCTCCGGCCCCTGCCGCCCAGCCCCTCTCCCCGGAGACCTCCCCAGCCTATGCAGGGTGTTATTAAAAAGAAGAAAAAAATGTTGAGCGTGTAAACTACTTGTTTGTGCTTTCCGCTCCCTTGTCTCCCTCCCTTATGTGTTCTATAATCTCATGTAAGTTTACAGGTATGTGGCAATACTTTAACAATACGGAGATGAAGAAGCGAGTAGACATTTAAGACTTTTTTTTTAATTAAAAAGGCTTTGAAGGACAATACTGCTGTGAAGTAGCAAAACACTAAAAGAATCTCTAAGCAACAAGAGAACTATTTACTTTCTCGGATCATCCTTTTGATACTTGCAAAATAAACCTTCGGCTACTACAACCTACAAAAAACCCAGATGCTGTGGGCCGGATCCTGCACTCCCGAGGGGACCAACTGGAGCTTTGGAGTGCAGGATGCGACCCTTATCTTTTTCCAAGTGTTACCTGTTTTGGGATGTAATATAAAGTTACAAGAGGTCACAGCCAGTTGGATTTTTTTTTTTCCTTCCCATCTGTTACTGAAGATTATAGTTCATCAGGAACTATAGTTCATCAACATGTGGATGACATACTTATTTAATTTAAGTGTATTCATTGTGTACCAGCTAGAACTGTGTATCTATAACCAGGTTATTTTCCCCCTCCCCTAGGAAACATTGACTACTACACTGATGCAAGGAAAAGAGGACAACTCTGTCTCTCCCCCCTTTTCAAACTTGTCTAATAAATTTTTTTTGTGGCCCTTTAATTATCGCCATCGTTAGCTTATTTCATCCAGTGTTATTGCACTTTCCACAGTTTTACACGGTGTTAGCATAGCCAGACGGGTTTTATTATTATTCCTGTTCGCTGTTTCAATGTTCTTAATTTATTGCATGGTTTATATTGTTTTCTTTCTTTACAGCTGAAAATTGCTTTAAATGACCGTAAAAAATAATTACACGTGAATTTAAGAAATTTTGTTAATTTTATAAATGTGATTGTAATTGAAAAAATATTTTGATTTAAAACGATAACTGAGAATTTAATGCGTGAAGTATGTTTTTGATCATTTGCAGTTAAGGACTTTAAATAAATCAAATGTTATCAATTAAATACTTCTGCTATTTTCTTACAAAATTTCTGGGATGGGTTACGGAGGACGGAACCGTGTGCAAGAAAATCAAAACGTAGTGCTTAAGTGTGGATGCGAAGAGGAAAGATTTGTACGGCCAGGCTTGTGCAGAGGGAGGGCGGAGGACGCTCCCGGAGGGTATGCTTGTGGGGCGCTGCGATGTCACCGGCCTGTGAAGCTGAGTGTGTGGTAATGTTCTTTATTTTATTTTATTTTATTTTATTTTATTTTATTTTATTTTATTTTATTTATTTTCATTTTTTTCCCTAATTCACGGTTCTGGGATATGTTGAGGGATGGCAGGAAAAAGCCGCCCGAGGCGATGTAACCTCCTGGGTGTTTTGCGGCCAGGCTCGGCGTTTGCCCGCCGGACGGGATGACGCCCACGGGGAGCATCCCCAGGGCGGTTCCACGCCGCTCCGAGCCGCTGGAAAGGTCCAGATCCCGCTTTATAGTTCCGGCTCGGAACCATACGTAGGAAAGACACCAGCAGCCGCGCTGGAGAGCTCTGGTCCCCTGCAATAGACTTTGTCGGGGGAGGGGAGTTTAAGTGTGAACGGATTTCGCTGTGCCAAGCCCTGTTCGTGCACGGCCGCCAGATAAAAGGACTGTGTAATTCTCGTAATTATCACATAATTGCCCCCTGACGGGTTAGGGACAGCGGCGACAAACCAAATTAAGATTCCACTTAGAAAAGAAAAGCCAAGCCAGCGTCCCAGAAATCTCACTGCATTCCTCCAACACTACTACCCAGCTAAAAACGGGAGGGGAAAAAGAGCCTTGGGAGACCCCCTCTGCTTTGCAGTGTGGCCGGATCAGCGGTGATCCCGGTCGGAGATGCGCGCACGGCTCTCGGGTGACACGGAGCTGTCTCCCGCGTCGTGCTGTGCGGGTGCTCTTGGTCGGGCGGGCATTTACGGCAGGTCCTCCCCCGGCTGCCGAGTGCGAGTCCTGCAGCGGGGGGGAGGGGGCTCTGTCCCCGTCGCCGTGTGCGGCCGGTTACCCCATGGCCCGACTGCGTGGCACCTTCGCTTCTGAATGTCCCGAAATGGCAAACATCAACAGACCCCCCGCAGCCAGGGGCAGCTCGGGGCTGCTCGGCACCGGGTCTGGGCATGCGGATCCTATTTAAAGCCCCGCTTCTTCTGCCAAGAGAAGCTTCGTGAGAATCGAGACAGGATGAAGCCAATTTTCAGCAGGACTTCGCTTGTCTCCCACAGACTAGTCTATAGAGAATATGCCATTGCAGAGTGGAGACATTGATTTAATGCCTTGGGCTCATACGTGGAAAATATCAATCGACTGACAGCGATAAGGCAGCAAGTTTCACATATCAGCTGAGGAGCACAGACCGTGTGTAATGGAAATATTTGGGGCGTGGGTAATAAAAGGGTTTAAGCGGACCGACGCGGCTCCAAACCTCTCAGAGATAAGGAGCGGAGCCTGTCACGGATGCAGCGTGTGCCCTTTCGCCACTCGCCATCAAGATTATATTCCTCCCCTTTCTTCTCGTAGGCAAATGGTGTCTGCGGTGGGGAACGAGCCCCTGACAAGACAGGGATGCAGCTCATGTTAAAAACGCGGGTCCCGGCGCAAAGCACGCAGCATTCTGTGATCAGTTTTAAGACTTGGAAATCGACAGCAGGGCAAAGAGTCCAGTTTTACGTTCCGCTCCTACCTGCCCTGCTGCTGCTGCTGCTTTAATCCTGTGCTCAGGAAACCCCCAGCCAGAGGGCAAATATAAGCTAAAAATGGGATCCACAAGGAGAGGGTGCATGCCCCCGCCCCGCAGTGTGTAGAGAGGAGTTTGCGAGCGTCTCCTTCCAGCCGGACCGGTCGCGCTCTGTGCTAGAAGGGAAGGAGCTGGCGGGTGCGGGGCTTTTGCTTCTGTCAGAGATGGTGTCTTAGCACCGCGTCCGGGGCAGAGGCAAAGCGGGAGCCCGCCAGGCTTCAGGTTCCAGGCTCCGACCGACACCTCAATTTATAGGGGAACTTCGTCTTTTCCTGTTCGGCAAATTACCTCCGACCGGCCACGTGCGGGGGAGCGAAAACGGCTCATTTAGCGTCATTAAATACAAGCAGGGAGTAAATCGGGGCTGCGGGGGATCTCTGTAAAGATTTCCGCGGAGTTTGGGCGGTGAGGAGGCCCCCGGCCCGGGACAAGGGGGAGGTGTTTGGTGCGCCGGCGGGGCAGGGGCTCTCGAGGCGATGCGGCTGGGACACTGCAGCCGGGGGCGAGGGGACGGAAGGGTCCCCTGGCGCAGCGGAGCCCTCCTCTGCCGCGGGGTCCGACAGTCCCGAGCCCCCCGGCGAGAGGGCACGATGCCCCTGAGCCCCCCACCAGTAGCACTTCCTCGGAGCACCTGCGAGCAGCACCTGCCCTCCGCAGAAGGGAAGAGTCGATGGAATAAAAGCAACTTCAGCCGCCCAAGTCAAGTGGGAGAAATAAAAAAAGTAACTGCTGGGTTGTTTCCTGGGTGCGAATGGACAACACTGACATCTACATCGGCAAGCAATCGGAGGATAGACATTATTTGGAAGGAATAATTCCAAATATTCGGGGCTACTGAAAGACGACAAAGAAAAAAATTGCCGGACAGTTTTTCATTTGAATCCTATTAGTGTTAATAAACCATAAGTAAATCGTGAGAGAACGGTGCGAGAAAACACTTCAGCCATTGGCATAGCTTCAAAAATTGTTTTGAAATGGGTTGAGTAGGTATTGAAATTGGTCCGTCAGCATAAACGCGAAATAAATGAATTCCCTCGCTATAACGCCAACTAGTCTTTAGAAGAGCAATTGTCTCGGTTTTTTACAGAAATATTATAGATAAAACACCTGATTGTGATAACAATGCACTTTGTATGGTTCCTTTCCTGTTCTGATTAAACGGAATCTAGACATCTATGTGTGAGCATATGTGATTAATCACTCTGAAAATAACATTTTAAAATCAGAGACTTAATAAATAAAAAGATTTCGTGTGCATTTTCGTGATAAATTTAATTAATGAAGAAGCAAATTATCCTCATACAAACATGGGGTATAAAGTTATCTCGAGAGGAGCATAGATGCATATATTATATATATTAACATACATATAATTAATATGTATTTGTTTTCAGGGGAGGCAAGTGGAAATATACATAACACACAATGACCAGGCAGAAATCACACCACAATAGTGCACAGAGTGTGACCGGAGTAAAGAATGTAAGTCCCCGCAAAACTCCCACGCTGCAATATTGTTTGGGAAATATAGGAGAATGGTTAATAGCTAAAATCAAAACGCAATTAGTTTGATTATTTACATGTCAAGGGTCGTGCAGCAAAATAGCTCTTTTTTTTCGTCTTCTTAATGCGAAGCCAGCCTTCTGAGCTCCTGGCAAAGGCAGACAGACTAATAATATTTTTTTAAATAGTTTGTACATTTTCTGCAATTTTTAGTTTCGAAAGGTCTGTTTCAGCGCGAAAAAATAATTGGGGGAAGAGAAGAGTGGAAAACGGGAGGCGATAAGAAGGAAACCTGCCTTTGTTCCCTCTGGTTATTTTCTAATAATTATTCTGACCATTGTGACAAAGTAGCAGTTAAGGATAGATTAGTGTAAATAGCGTCGCATTTCACTTGCAAACCTTGCAACTTTCTGGCCCAAGCCT